GCTCACTGTGTTGTTGCTAACAGCTTGACATCGCATCTGCCCGTCAGGTGCTCGTAAGGAGCGTGTGATAGAATATGCTGTCCTTCCCTTCCAGCGCCTTTACTGCATTAGTTTTGTGCCGACTAGTGGTATACCCCTCGGATGTCTAGCTGGTGATGAGCGTTTCAGCAACCACTTGTAGCTGTGGTGTGAGTTCGTGTCTGTGTGGCCCCGTACACGAATCGGACCACACACGGTTTATGCCACGTGTGTCTATCTTGTTTTATCGCCCGCGTGTGTATTTGATACCATCGAGTCAGCAGTTCATTCAGTCACTTGGTAGTGAGAGTTGGCCAAGGGAAATGGCCAGTGGTGGAAAAAACTTTTCAATTTATGCAAGTACCGTGATTACCGTATATATGAGGTCTAGGTCGGTAAAGCTAGACAAGTTATACCTATTTTATTCGCCGCCAAATTGCGCCGCATCATCTTTTAGAACGTCTTACCCATAATTACTTTTTACTTTACGCATAATACATTACACATACACAAATAAGTTGACCAGAGCTGCGAGTCGAGTCATTCGAAGGAGCGCGTACGGTCAATTGCAGCGATAATTTTTGTGTCCGCAGCAAATTCTCGAGGCTGACTCTGTGCGCGGAGAAGCTAATGACTCCCCGATCCACCCGGCAGCAAGGAGCGACTCGCACCACCTCGCCGTCGAGCTCGCCGACAGCAAGGCCGAAGCAGCGCCGACTGCGCGCAGGCAGCTGTAAGTGTTACATTAGTCCGCTGAAAAACTAGAAAAACTGGAAAAAACTTAAATTTGCTGAAAAACTGCCACGCCACCTGCCGACCACTGCGGCTGCCGTGCAGAAGGTGATGCGGCGGTAGGCTTTCGCGATTAGTTCGGTCCCGTACCGGCGAAACTTGTTTGTTAGCAGAGCCGCCGTGGCAACATCGGGTGGCGTGCGTGCGCTTGTGTGTCGGACATGCGCGGACACGTTACTAAACGTGCTTTGACGGCTGTTTTCGCCAACCATCTTTCTGTCAAAAACAGGTCCACTGTGAACAAAAGGGTGCATTGTGTCTCGTTTATTTTGTTGACTCTTTTGAGCAAAATTGGGCGAAAAGCCCCGGGCTGAAAATTCTCTGTGACATCCCAGGAATTTTTGCTCCTTTTCGAAAACTTTTCTTGCCTACCTACCTAATAAGACCCACAGTGTGTGCTATCTTTTGTATGCTGGTTGTTGTACTTAGATACTACTAACACACATTACTCAATAGTATGGTGTATGGGAGAAATATCGGATACCGCTTTGACATATCTCTTATAATTTAGTTTTGATGATTTGTATAGAATTTACATATTTATAGATATTTATAGGAACTTCAATATTTGGAATTACTTTTTTATAGAGAGGAAAAATTGAATTGCTGCTCAGAATTAACAGGAGGAACTGGATCTTTCAAAAAGCACTCTCTACGAAATTAAAACAAGAGGTGAGGTTCACAAGTTTTATCAGGTCCATAGCAACAAATAACAGCAGACATGCAATGTTTACATTTTGCTCATATATGTATGTTTTGAGGTTAGTTAGTTAAGCAACAGCAGCATATGTTTGCTGAGTGCAGGCTGGTTTCATAGATAATACCACAAATTTGTGGGAATTGTTTTTATTTATATTCGAACATTAGTGAATGAAACATTGAGACAATACTACAACAAGACGATGTACAGACAATAACAGTACACAATTAAATTAAATTTTGCTCCCAGTTTTTGCAATTTTAAATGTAGAGATTCACTCTTCGGGCAGTAAGCGTATTGATTTCCGTTTTATTAACAAGTGTGCATGTGGTGAGTCAGTCTGCTGCTAGTAGGTGCGATTCAGTACAGGAAATTACTTCGTCATATTAGCGTGTAGGAAGAATTGAATTGGCGCTCCAGACGAGCCGGTTTTAAATTATACTGGGCTTGTTTGCTTATCAATATTGATTTTTATGCTGAGGATAATAAAAAGGATCCAGTGAATTGATTGGGTATGCCTAAAACGATCTTTTGTTGGTACTATATATTTTAATGCAGTTATTAACATTATATAATAATGAATAACGTTTGTATTCCTACATTTGCCTACATAGTATTACAAACTTATCCATAATTATACATTTATGGGGGTCCATATGCAGAAGGTTTTAATGTGTAGTCTTGTGTGTTGTTTTTTTTAATAGAATTTGCGAGTTAATCCAGGAGCCGCATCAGCACGAGCTACAGAGATGAATTGGACGTTGGCGGAGAAGGTGAATTTTCTGGCACTCTATTAGCTAAAGCTATTTGTGAAATAAAGCCCATACATTAACCATTGATATGGCTCATATTATGTGCATTATGTTTCTTTGTATTATCCTTCGTAACTGTAGAAACTTGATTAATCGACGCACTTTTAACGTACGGTAATATTATGCATTTGTATTTCATACTAATGTGGCTCGCCATATCATCTCGCTCTTAACTGTCTGGAATAATATGAATTGCGATTGTTCATTCCATTAGTGGAGAATGCGATTATATTGCTATTAATACCTGCAGGCGAGCAAGGTAGAGAAGCTGGGAAGCAGAGCTCGCTCAGTTCAAGGATAAAACTCAATGAGATGGAATTCTTCAAAGCGAGATTCGAGGTATGCTTAAATTACGACGCGTCGCCACACCGCTAATCACTCCGCATGCTCGAACCTGATTGCACTTTTTTTTATACGTTATCCTATATCAATAGAAAGGTGGCATGTTCACATGTTCACAAAGGTCACATGTTCCCTCGCATCTGGCGCCACCCAATCGCATTGAGTGGTCTCGCCCTCATCGCGTTTCTCACGTCGTCACGTGTTCTCGCGTCGTTGTCACGTGTTCTCATGTCATCACATGTTTTCGTGTCATCACATGTTTTCGCATCATCATGTGTTCTCACGTAGTGATGTGTTCTCGCGTCATCACGTTTCGCGCATCATCATGTGTTCCCCTGTCGTCACGTGTTCTCGCGACGTCGCATGTTCTCGCGTCGCCGTGTTTCTCGCATAGTGACAACCGCTCTCCGTGTTCTATCGCGCGCAGGAAGTGAGGGAGACAACCACATTCTGCTGGAGACGAAGCACATGCTGGAGGATCAGCTGAGCGCGAGCCAAGCGCAGTCGAGACGATCATCGACCTTCGAGAAAACGACCTCATGAAGTGCAAGGCGCAGATCAGCGAAACTCGAGGAGTAGTGGCGCCGCCGAGTGACGTGCTGCGAGCGAGCAACGTTAGTGTGTACAGGTTTGCCGAGTTGTGTGTTAGTGATGATCGAAGTCAGGATGTCACAAATGGTAATCTGCTGACCCAGTGCATTGACATCACTACTGACCTCTGTGCGCTAAAACTCCACATCCACTGGCCATAGTCACTGACCTCCACACATTGACATCACACTGACATCATCAATGACCCTACATTAACTGACAACATGCACCTCATCAATGACCTACGTACTGACATCACCACTGACCTCATCTAATGACCCCTACGTACTGACATACCACTGACCTCATCAATGACCCCTACGCCTACTGACATCACCACTGACCTCATCAATGACCCCTACGTACACTGACATCACCACTGACCTCATCAATGACCCTACATACTTGACAGTCACCACTGACCTCATCAATGACCCCTATGTACTGACATCACCACTGACCTCATCAATGACCCCTACATACTGACATCACCACTGACCTCATCAATGACCCCTATGTACCGACATCACCACTGACCTCATCAATGACCCCTACGTACCGACATCACCACTGACCTCATCACTGACCCCCACGTACTGACCATCACTTGTGCTAATGCTGCATGTATTATGGCTGCAGGAGCGTGAGGCGGACAAGGATCGGCTGGAGCGGCTGACCGCGCAGAACATACAGCTTCACTTCGACAAGACAAACTCGATCAACGAGTCGGCGAACCTCGGAGCTGAGCTGGACGACGCTCGGCGCATCTCTGCAGGTACGTGAGAGGCGTAAGCATGCGGTATCTCTGCTGGTACGTGAGAGGCGTAAGCATGCGGTATCTCTGCTGGTACGTGAGAGGTAGGAGCACGCCACATCTCTGCAGGTATCTAAGGGGCGTGCACACGCCGCATCTCTGTAAGTAAGAGGGAGGTGCATGCACACCTCACTTCTCTGGAGGTGTGAGAGAGGTGTACATGCTACTCATTCCAGTAGGTCTGCGGAGCGTCTATGCAGCAGCTTTATCGTGGCTCCTTGCACGAAACTCTTCTTAGATCGTTGCATGCATCTTTGAACTTGACTTTGTGTGACTGCTAATAAGATGTCTAGAGCTTGTGAGTGTGTGCAGTGTAGATCTGAGAGTAGCAGATAGATTTAGCATGGTTTTACTCGATGATGTAATCTAGTAGTTGTTGTGGTTAGCTGCAGTATTCATTCTTAACTTGGTGTTGTATCGTTAGCGTAATGTTTGCATTTTTTCTCTCGGCTTGTTTGTTCGTAGCTGAGGTGTCAAGGAATGCTTCATATGAAGGTAAATCTAATATAGATGAGGCCTGGGATAGAGATGTAGTTAAGAGTATGTGTGGCTTACACATCAGAGGCAGCATGATTTAGCTATCTGTCGGAGATTTCACAGCATGCTGTAAATCTGTTTTCCGTGTGCAGCGGGTCGTGCGTCCACGCAACCGTTAACGTGCACGCGATTTATCACACGCCTTTTCCTGCATGTTGTTTCCTGTAGCGAATGCTAGTTTCTGCGCGGAGATGGAATTCTTCCTGGACCGTGAACAATTCAGTAAGTTTCCTCCCGTTCAATTTGCTGCTCGTGGAAAGTCGCGCGTGCGACCGACCACCCACACCTCGCATGTCACAACCGTCTTTACTCGAATGCAATTCTTGTCTATTTCGTTCTTTTATAAACACTCCTTATTTGTGTCGTCAATTATTCGTCGCATTTCTCGTTCGGTGATTCTTTGGTTTCTCGTGTTTTTTTGAATGTCATTCTCTTCTAATCGTTTTATACTGTTTAGGTAGCTCGCAGCCACAACTTTAACGAGCTGAGGCCAGTTGCCAGCAACAAAATTAGTCTTAATGTTAGCCTTAAAATTTTCAATTAACAAATTCTTCTCGTAGACCATTGACAGAAACATGGCGAAGTTACGAATTTCTCACATTCAGTGTATAGCGGTGCAGTCTACAAGAAAAAGTTGATGTTAAGACTAATTTTGTTTTTGATTAATTTCGTTGACCCCGGGGTACTTGCGGAGTGTGGGTCTCATCTCACACACTCTCTCAGCAAGTTTGCAGCCGACGGCATCCACCGCTGCATGTCGTAATCGCTTTTGTTACTCCGCCAGCGAACTCCCTCTCGGAGCAGCTCGGCGAGTCGGCGAGTGGCGCCATCTTGCGGCTGCAGCTGGAAAACAAGAGGCTGCAGCAGGCACTGAAGGACGCGCAGACAGGCGCCGCCGTCGAGACGAACGCCCGCGCGCTCGAGCTGGACAGCGAGAACAAACGGCTCAGCGAGAAGCTGGAGAAGCTGCAGGTACACAGCGGCAGTCTATGTCTCATAGTACAGTCTATCGCTCGTGACGGTGGCGCTAGTCGTCCGCGGGCAGGCGTGGGGTGCTCTGGAATTTTCCGCTACTTCTCTTGGCTTATCCAAGAATTAGCTGTCGCAATGCGAGGCAATGTAATAGTGGCAGTGTGTAAACGTTCAGGGTAACCCTGTAGAAGTTCTTGAGAAGTGACTATAAAACTGTGTGTTGCGGTTGTTTGTAATAATGTATGTGAATAGAGGGAGTGTAGCAGATGTAGCAGATGTGCTTCCGAGAGACACTTCACTGATCATGTTATCGTCAGATCCACGGGGAATTCTTAACAGATTGCCAGTTTTGGCAGCGTCGCATTGGGGAATGCAACTGCAATCATATCAATATCAAAATCAAATCATATATGCTCCAAGTTTCGAGGGCACGTTGCTTCGGTCACATGATGAACGCAAGGGGGGGAAACAGTCTCCTAATAAACAGCAGACAGCAACATATACTCCTCGGTAAATTATTGAAAGCGGCGCGTCGAATCTCGACGGCACGCCACGGCAAACTAAGCGGCTACCGTTCTAAAACTAAGCGGCTACCGTTCTAAAACTAAAGGCTACCTTCCTAACACTAAAGGCTACCGTTCTAAAACTAAGCGGCTACCGTTCTAAAACTAAGCGGCCGCCGTTCTAAAACTAAAGGCTACCTTCCTAAAACTAAGCGGCTACCGTTCTAAAACTAACGGCCGCCGTTCTATGAAACTAAAGGCTACCCTTCCTAAAAACTAAAAAGGCTAGATAACGCGTTCTAAAACTAAGCGGCCTTTTCCGTCTAAAACGAAAGCTACCCGTTCTAAAACTAAGCGCCGCCGTTCATTCAACTAAAGGCTACCGTTCTAAACTTAGCAGGCCGCGTCTAAAAACAAGCGGTCTAACCGGTTCTAAAACTAAGCGGCTACCGTTCTAAAACCAAGCGGCTACCGTTCTAAAACGCAAGCGGCTCTACAGTTATATAACGATGGAGGGAGAGTTGGTGGGTCGTGGGAATCATGCCAGGCCCAGCAAGCGGCTAAGAACTACTACGTTTCTTTGATTGACTTTCTTTTTCGTGACTTATTTGCTTGACTTTCTTCTTTCCTCTTCGTTTTCGGGGCAGAAGACGGTGAGCGATGGGCACGCGGGCGCAGCTGGGCGGCTGGAGCAGGCAAGACGCAGGAGTCGGCAAGCAGCACGACGAGGCGACCGACGCTGCGCGACGCGCGCGAGAGCCATCAGCGGCAGCGCGAGGAGCCACGACGCCGAGCGCGCCGCCTGACGCACACCGTCGAGCGCCGCTGCCGCAACGCGGCGCAACAAGCAGAACGCCGACACGCCTGCTAACGCGACTCGAGCGCGAGAACAAGAGGCTGCACGAGGGCGGCCGCGGAGTCTGTCGCGCGCTGCGTTCCCACGCCGAGTACGAGTGCGAGCTGCTGGAGCGTCGCTGCGGCGACGCGGCGACGACGCGTCGCCCGCCGGCGTCGAGTTTGAGCGCCGAGTGCGAGCGGCTGGGAAAGAGGGGCGCCGCCGTGCGGAGGGCCGCCGAGAAGTGCGAGCGGGAGCGGGCCGCAACTCGAGGTGGATCAACCGCAAGCTGGCGAAGGTGGTGGCGAAGCTGCGCGCGGGGGTGGGCCACCGACGCCCGCCTGGCAGCGCGAGCGGCGGCAGCGCGCGCAGCGGGGGCGCGGAGCGAGCAGGGTCGCGCGCGATCGCCAGCGGCGGCCGCGAGAGCGAGCGGGTCGCGCGCGACGCGGCGGCGGCCCGCGACGCGGCGGCCGCGGCAGAGGACGCACGGGACAGCGCCGTGGCTGACAGCGAGCGTCTGCGTGAGGAGCTGACGTCGCGCGACGCAGAGCGCGAGCGCGCCGAGACGCGGCTCGTCGACGCCGACGCTGCCGCTGTGCGTCTCCAGAGGGCGCTGGACGCGGCGTCGCGGCGCGGCGAGGACGCGCGCACCGAGGCCGGGGAGCTTGCCGACGAGAACAAGCAGCTGCTGAAGCTGGTCGAGTCGCTGAAGGCGCAGACGCGACGGCTGGAGGAGGTTGCGCGCGACAACCAGCAGCTGGAGGAGGAGAGCGCGCGGCTGGAGCGTGAGAGCAAGTCGCACGAGAAGGAGAGCACGCGCCTGCGAGCCACGCTCGAGCTGAAGGAGTCGACGATCGACGACTGCAACGTGCAGATCGTCGAGATGCAGCGCGAGATGAAGCGGCTCGGACGCGAGCTGGAGCGCAGCAAGGACGCGGTGACGCGCGCACGCGAGCTCGAGAAGGAGAACGGAGACACGCTGCAGCAGCTCGCCTTCGACAAGAAGACGATGGCTGCACTGCGAGAGGTAGGTGGCGCTGGCGACCGTGAAGCGCGATGTAGGTGGCGCTGGCGGCCGCGAAGCTCGATACGATCGCAGCGCGTCTCATCTACCTGTATAAGGTTTGTTTCGTTAGTGGGGGGGGGGGGTCTACTTCCTGTTTTATTAGGTTCTTTCATTTGTGCCAGATACCAAGGTTTTATCAGTATTTGAGCAATTTTTGTGTGCTAAAAAGTTTTACTAGTATATATTGAATGCCATCGAATTAACTACCATTGGTAAAAATATTGGAAAAACTGTTGAATTACTGTTGTTGTAAAAACTGTTAGTTTATAATAATTAGGTATGTGATTGCTACGTTTAGTATGATACCTACAGCAAAAACTATAGGGATTTCAATGCATAAATATTTTGACTCTAGGTACACAACTTGGCAGTACTTGTAACTGTACTTGTCCTTACATTTGATCTGTTGGTTTTGGTGAGCGAAAGCGTGTGAGCACGTGAATCACGGCTAGCTCTCTTGCAGGACTTGGTAAATGAGAAGATAAAGGCACAGCAGGTGCACAACGAGTTGGAGCAGCTAACGACGGAGCTAGCAAAGATCGGACTCGATCGGCAGAAACTAGTCGCCTCCGAACAGACGCAGGATGAAAAGTAAGTGCAGAGCTGTGAATACACACGAACAATTTCATTTAGTGCGATATTAGCTGGTCGTTATCGTTTTAAAATTATTAGCGAGCAAAATCTGTTACTGTGGGTCTACCTCATCACCTGTTTCACTGGCACTTGTATGTATAACATTGATGTTTATTGTTATTCAGTAGATCGTTATACAGATTGTTCTACAACAGCAACAGAGCTGAGAAAAATGCAGCCAAATGCAAAAGGACGCTTTTATAACAAATTCAGCTGTAATAGTAGTAATATCGTATCGTAAAATGTTAAAATCGTTATATCATGTCATAAACGTAAATAATAATTGCGTGTCTGTTAGCCGGTACAAGGCCTTGGAATCGATGATGGAAGGCACCATGAAAAAGAGCTTAGAGCTAAAGGAGGAGAAGGTGCGCGCATTGGAGAGTCGGCTGGAGGAGTCAATCAGCAGGAACCAGTCACTGAGAGAGGAGGTTCAGGGAATCAGGTGCAAATATGAAGCCATGCAGCAGAGAATTGAGGAGGAGAAGAAAGCTGATAACTCTAGGTAAGGCACTTGCATCTAATCAATACTGTATTGTGGTGATGCAATATCTGTATGTGTGATTGCACATGCTACAAGCATGAACATGTGTGCCTGCTCTTGTTCCTTTCGTTGGAGACCATGGATAGATGGTTTAAGTTAATGTTATGTTGATTTGTTTCACTAAACTTACCCTCTTCTTTTTCTACCCTTTTAAACATTTCTTTTCTCTTAACCTTTATTCCTACATGGGCCTTGAGGTAGCTTTGTATTCCTTGCACCCTGTTTCAGCAAACTAACTACCGTTATCCACTTATATAATTTTCATGTGTTTACACGGTTGTGGTATCATATCTCATGCCACCTTTAAGCAATTCTTTGCCTATTCTTTTGAACTTTATGCACTTTTACATGTATGGTCTCTGAGGTGCTTTTATATTCCTTGTGCCATTTTTCACTCACTGTATCATCTCCCACGCATTTTATGTGGCGTATTACTATTACCTCTCTCTCTCGATCTTTCTCTGTCACTCTGTCTGCACTAACATGCGTGTTCGTCTGCACTCTTCTTTCAGTGGAGTTCTGTGTGGTTTCAGTATGCCGAGGAGCGAGGACAGCAACAAGACATCAGCCAGCCTAACGGGAGAGATCCTGCAGCTCAAGGATCACCTCATCCTGGTCGAGAGAACCGTGAGTTGCCATTCTGTCATCGTGTTAGATCATTTACCCCTGACATGCCTGATGTATCTATGTACTCATGTATTTATCTATTCCATCTATCCATCCATTCATCCATCCATTTACTCATTCATCCATTCATCCATTCATTCATCCATCCATTCATCTATCCATATATATATATATAGATAAGTAATATAAATATTTGAACATGACTTTAAAATAATGTTTGTACGGTTATGTTGGTGTGAGTATGAGTGCATACCACAGAGGAACACGCAGCAGATCTTCTTTTTTTTTCTCTTTTCTTTTTCGTAAAAAAGTAGCAGTGATGCCATGATATAGAATATCCTTCTGTGTAGCATCTTCGCTATTGCTTTTCGCATACATTCTGTTTACGTGCACGTTGCAGAATGCCACTTTACTGGAGGAGAAGAAGAACCTGTGCTTTAGACTGACGAGCGTGGAAGAGCAGGCGAAACTATCCAACGATCAGACTAACAACCTGCGAGAACAGAACTCGCAGCTACAGTCTAATCTTGCTAAGCTACAGGTAGACATCTACATTGAGAAATTACCGATAGAGCTCAACTGGCTTGCTCTCTTGTCTTTTATCCATGTTTCGACGCTGAAAGATCCTCTGATATTATATACTGCTGAACGTTCAAGTGAATGAGAGCAGACACTCTCTTATTATTCCGACCTCAATTATAAACGGGAGACCTTGGTTAGCTTCCCTCTCTCTCATTTACTTATTTTAATCTATTCTATCATGCTATTCTTTACATTTAATTTCTTTTTATTTACATTATTTCCTTATATAAATTTTGACATTTTCCTATAGTGACTATATGCAGGTTTAAGTGCACTAGCGCTAGTTGAAGACCTACCTGCCTTCCCCCCAGAGCAGACACTCTTCTATTATTCCCACCTAAATTATAAACGGGAGACCTTGGTTAGCTTCCCTGTCTCATTTACTCATCTTCTCATCCTGTTCCCTACAATCTCAAACAAGACAGAAGGCTCGTGTTAGTTTTCCGTCTGCATTTACACATCATCCAGCCACTGCCGGTGCAGGTCGATTCCTAACATGTTCCACGCGAACTACGAGTATACTCGTTCGATCAATCAAAATGCACGTCCGCGAAACACGAGTATACTCGTGGTAACATTGTCAAGTACTCCGCCGCTAAATTTGAATTATCGCCGTGGTAATTATCAAATATTACTCAATAGATGGGACTGCCTGCACAAATATAAAATTAAGTAGGCCCAGTCTATACTTACCCTAGTCTTAGAATTTATTATTTGACCTATATTTAGCCTTCAAAATGATACCAAGATAAGCATTAGTAAGACCGCGAGTAAATCACCACATATTGAGCCACCGTAGAACAAGCGCCATGTAAAATTCCAGCAATAGATACTGTAAATTCCTTTTTTTTCGTGGGGTACCAATTTTCATGAATTTCGTGGGTCTATCAATCCACGAACTTACGTTCCCAACGAAATATGATGTACAGATGTCACGTGCCGGTTCTACGATTTCAATCCACGAATTTAAAAATCCACGAACATGTGTTTTTTATCGAAACCACGAAAATTGGGATCCACGAAAATAAGTGACTTTACAGTACATTATTAACAAGGCAGCATTGAAGACGCGTTCACCTCCATCGACGTGCCTTCCCGCAGGTGGAGAGCACGACACTGCACTCACGCATCGCCGCGCTCGACACGCAGTGCGACTCGCTGCGGGCGCGGGCGTCGGCGCGCGACGAGGAGCAGGAGCGCACGCTGGGCGAGCGCGAGGACGCGGCGGTGGCGCGCGCGTCCCTGCTCGCCGACCACGAGACACTGCAGCGGCTGCACGAGCAGCTGAGCGGCGAGTACGAGGCTCTGCAGGGGCTGTACGCGACCAGCAAGGGCGCACACAAGCAGCTGAAGTCCGACCACCGCGAGCTGAAGCGATTCTACGATGAGCTGGTCAGGGTGAGCATCGGGCCCCTTAACCTGATTACGCTGCCGGCGTGGTTGATAAGCGGCGCCTACTGTTTTCCTAGAAGCGATTCTAGTTCGAGATCGGTCGCTGCACTTCATGTGAACGAGCACGCTATTGATACGATAACTAAAGCCTTGCTTCTCGAGGTTGATTCATAAACCAACAAACACAACAGTAACCTGCCGATTAACACGGCACACCCATGCACATGCCCGTCTTTGTGTGGTGGTGCCGGGTGTCATCTCAAAATGTTGCATGTTTCGGCCAGGCAATTTGTAAATCGTACTACACAGCTGCAGACATCTTGTGCCAATGCTAGGCATCTGCAGGCATCTTGTCATCTTGCCAAGCAGTTTTGGATGTCACACAGTCCTGCTGCATATCACATCATATCTCATTATCTTGCTGGGCATGCTATAATAGTGATAGATATCTGCACACATCTCATATCCCTGCTAGGCATGTATACACATCTCACAATCCTGCTAGATATCTGCAGATGTCTCATACTCCTGTTAAGGACCTCATATTGGTAGGAACGTGCAAGCGTTTCGTAATCTAGTTAGGAATTTGCAGGCAGATGTAGTAATCGTATAAACTTGAAGCTTGTTAACATCATTGCTAATGCTAATATCTAACTCACTGAGTAATAACTGTGTCTTTAAGCTATACTAATAATCTAATAAATCGGCATTGACTATGCCTCATTTACCATGCGTAATTTTTTGGGGAACTCCTGAAAACGGTCACGTAGAACTTAGCTTGTTAATTCAAGAATGTAGCTAACCAACTTTACTTGGGGGTGGGGGAAGGGGGCAAAGCAATGTGCGATTTGTGTTCTTGGCAGTTGAATCTGGACTGTTTTCCATTGTCCAGTAATAATGTCTATACTGGTCTGCGGTGGTAACTACCCCACTAGTTACTCTGTCTACATCCCTGTCATTATTATTCACTTGTTGCCACTTGCAATCAATACTTCTACAAAAAATATCACTGGGCAATTCCTCCGTAATTTCTTATTTCAGTCCACCCCCATTGGTTTGTAACAGCATAGAAAATATCCCGTTGAACATTGCACGGCTAGATCGTAGGCAAGTGCTGGGCTGGGGTTAACTGACTGCTTGCTTTGCTGACTGGTGATGGGTGCGGCTGACTACTAATGGCGGTGTTGCTGCTTGTGGTGGCAGGAGAAGGATGAGGTAGACGAGATGAAGACCTCTCTGTCCAGTGAGCGGGAATCTCTCAAGTCCATGAGCAACCTGCATCTGGACTATAGCACTCTGAAGGAGACGCAAACACGGTCCCAGCATAGCTATGACAAGCTAAGGGGCGACTACCACAGCCTGCAGGTACACGGCATGCCACCTGGTGCCACTGATGGGACTTCCTGCTGCGGATGATGTTCTCTTGTTGTAGTGTCTCGACATTAGTGGTTTGGCATGGCAGGACGCTACAGAGCACAACTTTACGAGTCATAATAACGTCGTCTTACGAAAAAGGAAATAAAATGTAGAGATTGAAGGCTAGCATGTACATGCAAGCATTAGTGTCCTTACCCATACTGTATGTTTGCACGTGTTATTTGTATCGTGAAACTGACAGCAGTTCTCTTGACCCACAGTCCGACTACAAAACACTGAAGTCTGAGAACAATGCACTGAAGCTGCGCTACACAGAGCTGCAGGGAGACATGGCTGAATGCAGGGATCATGCCAACTCTCTCGACATCGAGCTTGCCAAGTCTGCGAACCGCTGCGAGGTACTCAACTCATGCACGCACGCACGCACGCACGCACGTGCGCACACTACATTGCAAGCAAGCAAGTCTTGTTAGTCTGTGAACTACTGTGAGGTGACACACGCACACTACATCCTGCTTGTGAAGTTTGCAATGAGCTACAAGGTGACACGTACATGCTTATCACACACACATATATGCACTTACACACGCACGCACGCACGCACGCATGCACACACACTTGAACACACACTCTACATACTGCATGCGAAGTTTGCAAAATGCTAGAAGGTAACACATACAAGCTCATCACAAGTGTGGACGCATGTGCACACAAACACATACACACACACTCCATACTATTTTCCAAATATGCTAATAACTGCTGCAATGTGCACACATACCGGTAGTGGGGTGATAATAGCTGTGGTCGTATAGAAAACATATTGCACAGCAGCAAATCTGATCTTGATCGGTGTAAAGTAGCATCAACAAACTTTAACGGCGTTATAGCTAGTCGGCAGTACACAGTAACTCTACAATATTGATTGCACGGTCGCAGTTTGATTAAATTAAGTAGTAGGAAAGTAACGTTGGCACAGTACCAACGCTGATAAAAGATGCATGCGATGTGATTGCGAATTCTGGAAAAGACGGGAAAAATAACGGCTAAGAGGCTATGAGTAGAGATGGCTGCCTCACTAGTGTCGCGACTCTAACCTGTGACACACTAATCTGTGACAAGCTAACATGTGACACATTAAGCTGTGACAAGCTAACCTGTGACACACTAAGCTGCGACAAGCTAACCTGTGACACAGTAAGCTGTGACAAGCTAACCTGTGACAAGCTAACCTGTGACACACTAAGCTGTGACAAGCTAACCTGTGACAAGCTAACCTGTGACAAGCTAACCTGTGACACATTAAGCTGTGACAAGCTAACCTGTGACACACTAAGCTGCGACAAGCTAACCTGTGACACACTAATCTGCGACAAGCTAACCTGTGACACACTAATCTGCGATGGCACGCGCGTGTTTGTCTGTTGGCAGATGCTGCAGCAGATGAATGCCACGCTAGAGGAGGAGAACAAGACGCTGATGAACCACATCTCTGCATTGCTCACGCAGAACCAGGACCTGCTATTTCAGACGCTCGAGAGCAAGGACCAGTTCTACGAGGAACAGCGCGCCTTCTCGTACGTAAACGCGTGCGCGCGGATGTTAGAGTAGTTACAGCTCACAGTCACGCTGCATTCGGTATGCAGGGGCCCGGCATCTATCGTCGAAAAACACAATTTTCTTTACGTTAGTCTTAACAGGTCACGTTTTTTTTTATAGATTAAGGACATGGTAAAGTTACTAGTTTCACATGCGCAGTGTATAGAGAGGTCCAGTCTGTGAGAAAAAGTTCACGTTACGGCTAATGTTAAGACTAATCTTGTTGCTCACAACGGACCCCAGCATCCTGCGTGATACGTCATACTGGGGCGAGCAGCATGTAGGGTGGTTGTGGCAATGGGGGCAGCTGCCCCTGGATTTTTTCCCGCAAAATAATATCATAGACCTAATGACTGTAATTACCCCTAAAGTAAATGTAATGAATAATAGAATGCAATTTTCTTCTGTCTAATCTACATATTGTTTATCTTATTTTCGAGAACACAATGCCTGGCTATTAGTCGGTTGAATTGGTTCAGTTACGTTTCTCCCTCTTGGGAATTTATTTAGGTTATGGCTTTGCAGCGGGAGAGTGTTGGAGCAGCTAAGCCTAGTATGCACTACATTTTAACAGTTGATAGCACACTTGTCAATCAAGTATGGCATGTGCGATGGTCGCTACTGCCATACCGATAAGAGCTTTTGTATCAACAGAGACAAGCTGAATACGCTAAAGAGGCAGAAGGAGAAGCTGGAAGAGAAGATTATAGATCAGTACAAGAAGATGGCATATGATGCGTCAGCATCGCCTAAAAAGTGAGTCAGATTATACAATCAGATCAGATCAGATATAATACAATTATTCTTCCTTTATATTTATTTAATAGTGTTATATAAAAGTGTTAAATGAGGATTTTACGGTTTATTTAGCTGTCAAAGCCATGTTGTTACTAATATATTAATTAGGTACCTTGAAGACAGATTGTGGAAGGATGTATGGATGGATGGATGGACAGACAGACAGACATTCAGAGGGATGAATAGATAAGGGTATGCCCAGAAATGTATGGATCAATTGGTATACTGGTGCTAAGTAGGTTTATGTTTTTCTAGGAATACAAAGAAGTTTGGAGGAATTGTGAGGAAGGCTAGAGGATTCATGTCCAGGGTATGTCGAATCTTAACTTACTTTTTCTCAACTAACTTTACAATGTACATTTATGCTCAGTACAGTATTTAGTCAGTCTTAAAGAAATGATTAAATCGAACTACTACACAGCAAACAACGTGCGTCTGTCGCATCAATGCACACGTCAGTCCATGTCTTGTAATAATAAATGTACAAAAAAGATATAATTGCGTACGCATCATATACGTGGTTAACAGTTACTGTACTGTGTACATACGTCAATGCTGCTTCGTCAATTAATGCTGGTCACCCGGTGAACAGTTATCCCTCCTACGAAATGGTGGCGAATTGATAACTTTGATTATCTAAGTGAGGGAGGGGTCTTTGTGTGTGTGTGTGTGTGTGTGTTGGAGGGGGGGGGATTGTGTGCGAGCATGTGCAGTGGTCCCACCGTGTATGTACGTATGTGTCTTGCATGCTTGGCTTCACCTGGCTGTCTCTTGTTTTCTTGATGCTCACCAGCGCCAACTGGAGGTAATTTTCGACTTCAGTTTCATTCATCTTGATTTTGTTCATGTTTTATTAAGATATGTTTTATGTGTATCGAGTGCATTTTCAATAATGAAAAGAACACAGGGAATATGCAGGGGTGTGGGGAGCAAGGAAGGATGCAAGTTAAGGAAAAGGTAGTGTATAAGAGGGGTTATTTCACAAGCAGTCCTAAAGAAAGTAGCAAAAACTTTCAATTATATTTTTGGTAAATACATTTGTAGATGTGCATGTCAAAAGTTGCGAAAGTAAAAGACAGGTTTGCATAAAGGGAGTAAAGTAAAGGGTTTTCATTACACCAACTGGCAAGTAAATAAACATAATATAAGGGTATGACTTTGTAGGAGAATATGCATCGTAATTAAATTCAAAACAAGACGAGAAAAGGAGAGTCAAGTTATGATAAAACGATAAGATTGATGAGCTGACATATAGGAACATCACATTTATAAATAGCTGTAGCTTAATGTTGATTTCCCGAAGTGTTATTATGTGTGCTTGCATTAGTCAGACTTTCCATCAGCCGTGAAATTCTTTAAAACATTTTTAATGTTTTGAACTCTTTCTGAAATCCGTTGAAAAAAATTTCTGAAAAGCACTGAAAAAGTTTTGTTCAAATTCAAAAAAATTCACAGATATGTTTGGAGATTTTTGTGATGAAATGAACAGCTTCTGGTTTGAAATTGTGTGTAATGGTTGTTTTCTAGCAATCGTTATACAGTTGTGATCCATCCCTGTTTTTAAATACAAACTATGTTTCTCTGTAAAATTAGCTCTACAACTTTTGTCAAGATCTGCTGGAATGCCTGATTAGTGGATCTAGATCCTTTCATGTTGCATGTTTCTAAACTATTACTGAGTCACTCTGCTAACCAATCAGTATAGCATTAGATTTGAAGAACAGTACACTCGTAACTTGTGTGACTTCACTCTGGGTGGTAATGTATCCTGTCCCGTTTCTGGTTTACCTGAAATGAAGTCTACATGCCATGCATGCTAAGCGCGTTTAACATTTAAAAAGCCGCAGATGATTCAGTCGTAATTTTCTAGCGACATAATGTACTGTAACCGATGCAAGCTTGCTAACTGCTTTGCTCAGCGGCTTTACGTGTTTACACGAGTAGTTGCGGAAAATCGTACTAACCACTCGTATTTGCATGCTAACTATAGTGGTAGTGGTGTCGGCTCCGCACTGAATGCCTGTAGCACTAGCTAAACTAACTGTTTCTCTCTTTATTTCAATGCTTTTATCTGCCCGTGTGCAGAATAACAACCTGGCAATCTCTGGACCTGTAAATATACCCGTAAGTAACGTACCATACATGGAATATCGCAATTCCTTGCTGATAGTTTACGCGTAAGCTTTTGTAACTAACCTGCTGGTGATATTACAAAATAGTAAAATATGACAATTTAATGATGAGATAATTTTTGCCTGAACGCTACCAGCCCACGCGCATGGAGTTCGGTGTTTGTCGCATGTATCTGTATTTTTTAAAGCCTAATAGATAATTATACACACGTTTTTTTCGTACGGTTTTAATTGACGCAATTTCTATTGGAAGCAAGAAGTCATCTTAGATGAGATTATAATTATTTAAATGATATACCGCAGCGGAACAGCTAGGTAGTAACTAGATGCATATTCATGCCATAGAAACACAGTAGTGGTACGCACATTCTCATATACTGAACAGCAACGTAGCCCGAGGTTTCAGCTAGTCCATGATTATAATATAAACATCACGAGTGGGGTTATGGGATGTACAATTGTAAGTGCAGGGAAGAAAGCACGAGCTATGAGGTTACTTCTCATAACCTGCCCCGCTGGGACTTGGCCACATGTCCTGAAGCCCTTTGTCAGAAACGTATGAATTGTCATAACCAGTGATCTGCAAAAATTAGATGAGTCATTTCAGACTAATAAAATCATGCAATTAAAATGAATTTAAATTAAATTAAAGTTTAATCGATAGCGGCAACTATTCGCGAAGGGGTTTGGCAACGCGCGGTTACTGCAGGGAACGATAGCAACACTTTGAACATGGCCGCAGCGGCGGCGTCTGTCATCGGCGCGACTTATATCGCTCGTAATATGTGTTCGCAGAAGCAGACGCGGGAGGTGCGGGAGGTGTGCGTCGGCAAGCACGGATCGCCCGAGCTCTCCGACGGACAGGACACGTCTTCGCAGGGATCTGCCGACCTGATGCCCGGTAAGCATGCGAACGTATTTCTCTTTGCGATGTAGGGTGTCGGGAGGGAGGGGGGCAGCCGACGTCGCGCGGTTAAGAATATACGTTTCGTCGTCTGAGCTCGTGCATGCGTGCGGTCTTCAACCGACGCCACGACTGGATCGTGCGCAGAATGGATGCGAGTACGGGGCACCGAGAAGCGAGAGAGCTCGTGCGTTCACGAGAGAGTGTCGCGGTTGGAAGGAAATACGAAGAGCCTCGTAGTAAGAATACGGGAGTGTTCCTCCCCCCCACCTCGAGGAGTTTTACTCCCGCGATGAGAAATTAAACGCGTCCTCGCTTGCCTCCACGTTATCCCTGTACCGTTCCCCTCCCTCCCCCGTCAGCACGTAGGTTACACGTATTTGTTGATTTTCTACTCTTTGAGTTTTAAAGTCGGTTTGTTTTTTCGTGCTTTTTCTTCATCGCTGCCTCTCGCTGGCTACTGTACAGTGGATGTACCGGGAAGGTTAGATGTGAGAAAGGCGCTCGCGCGAAAGCGGTCAAAGTAAGGCGTTGATGTCCGATGTCCCTGCCTGGCTGGTGCACATGTAGCCGCAAAACACTGTCTCGTCGGCACAGCCGGGCCTGTCACGCACACGCGCAGTGTCTCTTACTCTCTCTGTGTGTGTTTGTGTGTGCGTGGCAAGTGTCGGTCTCCTGAGCATATCACAGCCTCTAGAGAGCAATGTTTCACCCTGTACGGGCGTGCATGCGAGGGGAGAAGTGGGAGCCTAGCGCCCGCGTTCGTTCTAGGAGAGAGCTTGCGTTATTTCGGAGTGTCCTCGTGCTGGGGTTATAATCCGTAGCCCTGAACCCCCCCCCCCTCTCTCTCTCGGCGTAGCTTAGCTGGGAAGTAGAGTGGTGCGCGTACACGGAGTCTTGCAGATCCTTGAGATGGGTCACCTACCGTTGTCATAGTTACCGACAGCGCTACTCGTTACGGCCAATCACGCTTGGTGTTCACTTCTATTCTTGCATGTTGTTTTGAACTAACACCGCTAACCATTTTGGTGAAGTGCTGTTTTTGACACTGATGTTCATTTGTTTCTTTTGTGGGTATATGTGTGATGCAGCTGCTTCTTGTAAATTGATGGTTCAAGTGCAGTGACATTATCAAAGCAGGACACGGGCATATGTATTCACGCCCGCGTCTCTCCCTGTTTAAAATAAATGAACATCATTTAGACAAAAACTGCACAGGTACCAATCCTTTTGCATGTGCTCTCTTTATGTTTGTAATTGTATATGGTTCTACCCATAACGAAATAACATGTTATACTGTCAGCTAATTGTGGGTATTCGTTGTGTAAGGGTTGTCTGTCTATATGTCATTATAAGAGGGTGCAAGAAAATGCAATGTGATATTGCACATAAAAGATATTTTGTATATATACATGTGTAGGGTATATACATATGTATTACAAAATATTGAACGATTCTTATTATGTTTTTGTATCTTTGACAAGCGTATTTTTATACGTGTTTATATAGATTAACTAATAAATCCCAAGAAAAACATAAAAGCAATCTGGCAGATGTTAGGAAATAGGTAGTCATTAATTGAATATGTTCGATGTTTGGCGATGATGATGATTCTTGTAGTTCAACTTGTCAAGTAACATGTGGGACCGGGATGCTACTGTGACGATCTGCAGTGCTAACACCTAATGTTTATTTTGTCATGAGACTATCATTATTTTATTCAGCGCAAACTTTCGCGATACAGCTTTAATTGGAAGTTGAGTGAGTGCCAGCTCTCATGACATTAGTATAGTTCGTCGGCACAAGAAATAGCGGCAATTTCATCGTGACTTTTGGTTATATGGTCTGTCACATAGGGTCAGGCAATGGAAATATTCTATATAAAGATAGGAATAATAAATATAGCCGTTTATTTGGCCAGTAGATGGAAGCACATCTCCAGGAATACCCTCACACTTACAAACTGTTATTGCTGAATTGGCTCGATTCTTGAGAAAGTCCCCCTGTAGAGAATATTATAAAATCACTGTGGAACTATGCATAACGAGGTAGCGTAGATTCCATCACGCTATTCTAGCGTGGTCCGCTTTACCAAATAGCTGTAGGGAGGAAATGAGATGAGCATGCAGATTAATTAGGCAATCACGTGAGCGTTACCTCGCCGTCGCGTGAATTTCCTCTGCAGTTCGTGGTTTAGCATTGTGAAGTTTTGCTCTTTTGTAATATAGTTTCATGCATGTGCATGATTAGAAACCTGTGCATGAAACTCTTACGCGTGCCGTAGTCTATAGTGGACCAGTACGACCCGCAGGTCTAGCATGATCCATTGGATAGAGCAGGCAGTTTTGCGCATGTAATTCTTGCATTTTGATGCGAATTGCTCAATATAACGATTCGCATTCAACATTTTGTTTATTTCATTAGTGAATATAACCATTAATATAGAAAGTGTTACTGTTAAGTTTGATAGGTAGATTATTGACCGAGTATGAAGTATAAAATTTGTTTCCCGTGATAACAGCCGTCTTACTATTTGGTCGGCATGGTAACCAAACATAACTAACATACTTTTATTCAGTACAAGGGCTATGAGAATAATCACTAAACTGACAGAAAATGTCCGTTTGGTGATAGTTTGTGCAGCTAACCACCGAGTTGAAATATTGAAACACGAGTTTAAACGGCGTCAATTCATGATTTACAATCATACAAAAAGACGAAAGTGTCAAGACGAAATGTTGCTGCTTTATACGGCTGGCTAGCAGTGTCAGCTATCTATTTGCAATTTGCTATCTATGGCTAGCTGCGTGTGCTAGTTGTTTATTAATAGCTCTGTACGACGGCTACCTGTGTGCAGTTAGTTGTATGTGGCCTGTATGTCTGCATAGCTAGTAGTGTGTCGCTATCTGTATGTCCGACTACCTATGTGCGGGTAGCTATGCATAGCTAGCTGAATACGGCATGCTATGTGTGGCTAGCCACGTGCTGTCCGTGTGCTAGCTGTGTGTGGCTATGCCTGTATATAGGTAGCGATGTCCAGCTGGCTACGCGTTGTTAGCTATGTGGCGTTTTTAGCTGCTAGCTGTGTGCTGGACGTAGCTCTACCGGTGCAACACCTTGGCTACAGGAGCTACACCGGTAGAGCTATGCTGAGTGTATAGCCGCTACACTGGTGATAGCTAGGAGTGCGGCTATCAGCTAGCAGCTAGCAGCTGGTGTGTGTGCTGGATGTCTGTGCGTGTTTTCAACTGCATGACACGCGCGCATGCCATTCATCTGACGCGTGTGGTGTTTTCTTCTTTCAGGTCCAGACCGCGTCACTAGGGGCTGTAACTTGGTGGCCTGCCTAAGGCCGGATAAGCGAATGACCATGTCCTCAGCTTCCATCCATTCCCTCGTGTCCGATTAGAATGCATGTAGAGTGTCTTGGTGTCGCAGGTGAAACTACAGTTTCGAGGTGGCAAAATCCGGGTTTCGTGTGGTGCGTATAGCGAGCACACCTTGCTGGCCACCGGCGTTGTGTCCTAAATGGCTCAAGCAAAGCGGCTAAAATTGTATTCTCACCTGGAGTTTAAGGCCCCGATGCTTGTTTGTAACTGCACCCAAAAGCGTGATTGCTTGCAATAGTTAAATACCCGAGTTTGTGCTGCCCTCTGCCACTGCCAGGCAAGGTGACAAACTTGCTCTGCAGTACGCTGAATCGCATCGACACCCTTCATACACGAGCATGTACATTACGCTATGATATTCATTATGCATCGAGTGCGCTAACGTTTCATTAACACTAATTGCATAGGGTAAGCGCTGCGGAGAAACAGGGTAAACGTAGACCGAGACGTAGCGTGAATAAGGTGGTAGTGGTGGGTGGGGGTGCAGACTAGGTCGTTAATTGGCTCGTGATGCCAGCATCTCTCCGAGTAATCAGGATAATAACAACATACAAGTACGCTCGATGTGTAAACCTTAAGTGTGATATGCCCTCATTGGGTCACTTATTAGTAGGTAGGTAGTGGCGGCCTATGCCTGGTGAATCATTGTAATGGCCAGAGCCATACCTATCTAGTCAGGAAGCCAAGAGATGGTTGTAGTGTGACTTATTGTTACGCGGTGTGTCTCGTGTGCAGCTAGGCTGCAAAGCCTGTTGCTTTTTAAACTGGTGGCGGGACTGTGTTGCTGTCGTTTGCATGCTTGTCTGCTCTGCTGCTCCATCAGCTAATAACAAACGTTGCCTGTGTACTGTCCGTGTAGCCGTATTGTCCTGTGTTGTGCGTATCGCATATACTCGTGCTATGGCTCACTTTGAGGTTTTGTTTTCGGCTACTCTCTGCGGATCTATCTGCACTTGCTTTCGATAACCACGCTGATGATTACTGTGAAACGTTATATTGTAATATATAATATAATAATATATATTATATACTATATAATATATGTGGTTGCGTATAGTGTAAATCCAATTCGGTGACCTGAAATGGGGGTTGGAGGGCAGGCCAATTGTCACCCATTGGCAATTATTGTCCATTCGGCAGTGTAAAAGTGTGCCTTTGGCATTCTGTGATACAATGTTTGGGGGAAAAACAACAGCGTGGTAGCAATTCGAAAGGTGTTACGCCATCGTTTTACGATAATTCAGTAGCGCAGAACAAAATTTTGACTGATACGAGAAGCCTGTGGTGAATGACCATGCAGATGTTCTCATGGTTGATTGTACAGTTATCTATGTCGCCAGTCATGTGTCTTATCTAACACCGAACGAACGATTGAGAGCGGGTTAACTTTATTTTTTTATCGACTTCTGCGAGTTTTTTTCCCTACTTATAATTTGTTGTGCGTTATTTCTCTGTTATTTGTTCTCAGTTGCTCGATATTTCAAGGGACATTATTTGCCATTTTATTTACGGTCGGTTGATTTTCGCACGGCCAGCTTCGTCCCCTCTGTGTTTCCAAACATCTCTGTCTCGTGGCTGTGAATGTAGTGCCTATCTTCGCTTGTCCTGGTGATTGGGAGGCAACACGCCGACTGTGCATACTAATTAATTAGATAACCCTGGTGATGGACTATGGCATTGCTCGCGCTGAGTAAATGTGCATCAGCGGTTCACCTGTGTGCTTGTCTTACCTGTGGTGCGTCGGCGTTGGGGTACGGGGCGTATTGGAATACCAGGGTGCCGTTGTCAGAATGATCCATGCGTGCGTTTACACTTATTGCAAATGTCTGGATTTCTTTTTATTTGGGGTTTATGAGGAAAATGTTACTCGATGACAATTCTGAATCCTAAACGATGGTATCCTAATACAGGGTATAATCCTAGCCTCTTCTCGGAAACGTTCAATGAACTCAAATCTGCTTCACAGTGTGTTTCTAGCATGGTCTTTACTTGCGGTCGTTCTGACAATATCACCCATGTGTGAAAACCCCCGAATAACATGTTGCTAAATCGGTGAAACCCGCTGGTACCATGGGTATGTTAACTGCATAATATTTATTCTTCTCGGTATATAGTTTTAAGTCGGAGTTAACCTTAGGTTGGGTATTGTTAAGTTCGAGCTTCGAGGTACGTATTATATCCGGTAATCACCACCGTACTTTGATTGCTTCGCGTTTGCAGTGATTTCGTATTTTTAAACAATACGAATAAGTGGTGAAATAATAAGTAAGTAAATACAGAGACGAAAGAGCAGTAGCTAGCTGTGTCTGACTAGGCTGGGTCTCAGTATGAAACTTACAGTTGCCACTGCTCATTGTGTGCGTGTATGGTTACTAGAATTAGGATTCTTCCATTGCTTGCTTGGTGCTAAATACTCATGCTGCCGTCTAGCTTTGTACAGTCTTAGATGCCTTCATGTTATCCCCCCACAAAATCAAAATATTTATAGACGTTTAGACTGTACTAGTGCGGCTTTTGTTGTTAGATTTGTTTTCATAGGGCGCCTATATTGTAATAATATGATTTGCCAGGTTAGTTTTAACTTTGTTATGTTTATTATTTTAGGTTTTTGTTATAGATGGCATTGTGGTTATTTTAAAGCAATTGTTTGTAGAAACACGTTGCCGTTTAGGTGACTATTATAGGTAGATGTTAACTACAGAGATATTTATATACACGATTGTCAATTTTTAGTTCAGGCATACTACATTCAGTCGATTCTTAATTAGGGATTTAACTATTTGTAATAAGAGATTACATCCCATGAACACAAGGCACAGTGTAGGCTACAATATATAATGCTCAAACGACTAGCGTTCATGGGATCGTTTTATATGTATTTTGTACAGTCATAAACCAACTTCGATTTTAATTGGTTGCAAGTAATGATATTTTTTCTCCAGAAATACATATTGCTTCACGAGCGTGTTAAAATTGAAATAATGATATAATCCATATTGATAATAGTACCACATGGCACCTGCCTGCGAAGCTCTATCCTTCTGAATGGAATTGAAACATTTGCATAGAATTATATAGAATTATATGCATAGAGCAACATTTCAAGGAACGTATTAAGATTTCATGACTTGCGGGTATTGTCGGTAATTTAGGGCATAATATCACAATATAATTATATAAAGCAGTAAAGGACCGTTAAGTAGGCTAGGCTAGGCCTGCTCACTGGTGGAAAACCCGAGGGTGATGTTTAATGATAAAATATAAATTAGCATTGATAAGGTTAGTGAATTCACATAAAGTAGTTTCTTGTGTAGGGCGGACTACTGGTTGTCAAAGCCCTTAGTTTTATGTAATTCTATTAATAAGTCACTAGAATACCGCACAGGATTACCCTGACATGATAAACTGTGTTATATTTTAGTATTCTAACATCGTAACTCTCATAGCTGCATGGTCAGTAAAGCTCTCGTTTATGCAACGCCAGTGCTTATATAAGTTTACGTAAGTTTAAATATGGGGTGGGTGGTCCCACTGTATGCTTTCGTTTTCCCATCTGCAGATCGAAGTTGCATTTGGGAAGGCGAATGGTGATGAAGGAATCAGTATATTTTGTAAAATTAAAACGTGTATTATTCCTTCGGGAGGATTTTCAGTCATTGATCTGTGGTTGAAGATTTCGATCAGTTTTGCTCAGAGTCGGTGTGTTCTACTCGTATTTACTGCTATATAAGTAAAGTTACTGCTATATAAGTAATGTTGTAAATTAGCAGGTTGTGTTGAGGGAATGTAGGCTTCCATTTTAGGTTCACTCTGTATATCTCACACGTGTAATACGATAATATATAGCTACTGCTCATGAACATGATTGTATTTACTAAGAATTCTGTTTGCTGTTTATATTATGGAGACTTTTAGTACAGGCAAAACGACTATTACACAATTACTTCCCTCGCTTAAAATTCTCTTTCTGTTAATAAAACAGTTGAGCACAGATTTACGAGTTTAGATTCACGCACAGTACAGATTCCTACACCTCAGTTACCAATTCCTCGTATTGCTCCTAGCCTGTAATAAGACTGATATTTCTAAATCACGTGATGTCGCTGGTTAGTGACTACCACATTTCATCTTAATTTACAAAAGGTATGTATCGTCACCTGAAACCAACTGTTTGACTTACTTGCAGTGCACATCTTGCACATAATAGCATATTTATCTTCTTCTTTTTTGCGTTGAAATATGAGTTATTTGAATATAATCACATGTGAAATGTAAATAGATAAATAATTAAATCGCTTGCCTTTAGAAAACGATTCTGGTCCCTGTCTGAGTCGGTGTTCTAGGAGCCTGCATGTATGGTCACATACACTGCAGAGCTCTGCTCTAATAAACGGTCACTACTTCACTTACTTAAGTCTGCGGTTGAAAACCAACTATGCAAAGTCCATTACATTAGCCCATCTAGGGTAGACGTACAGTCAGGAGTACGTTAATAGGTATTAGTGTAGTTCGTTGTACGCGTGTGCACGTGCGCTGCTATGCGCTGACGGTTGGCGGTGGGTTAGTTGCAGGCTTGATGTCGGAGCGCTCGGTCGACGACCCGTCCTACGCCGCCGACGTCGTCGTGCTGAGCCGACGCGCAAAGCCGCTGACGTCCGCGCAGCGTGAAGCTCGCAAGTCATTGCCGCCGGAGCAGACGGAGCCGCCGCAGCAGCCGACATACAACGTGAAAGGTGCGAGGCGGGCAGGCGTGGCTGCGTGGCGGCGTGGCTGCGTGCGCGTGCCGCGGTGGCGTCGGGGGAGGGGGAAGGGTGTTCGCGTGGGGTTGTCGCGTCTTGTGGCAGTGGGGTGTGGGTTTGACCTGCTGTTAACGGGAGAGGGTATTTGTTTGTCGAATGGCTCCGGGATGCATCGACTTCGTTTAGATACGAGTAGTCAAGTAATCTTGTTAAATGTGCCTACCTACTTTGGGGAAATATTCTAAATTTGGGAAAATATTCTAAAATTTCTGATTTGGAAAATATTCTAAAATTGGGAAAATATTTTAAATAATATGCTTATTCCATACCGTAGTCACAACTGCTTACTCATATGGGTCGGAAATTGATCACGTCTACTTGGAGAGAGCGATGCTTGTGTTTTATTGTTTGGCGTGCAATGACACTGAATTTCTAATTTGTCACGTTCCCATTTCAGAGAGTTTTTCCAGCGATGACATACAATCCGTGTCCTATCGCTCCCGTTCCCGTGACAACAGTGACTCGTCACGTGATCTGCGAGTTATCAGTGGTAAGGTTTATGTTTAAAGCCTTATAAGTCATATAATAAAATGCTACTATTATCGATGCCACCCTTGCTGGCAATAGCATGCTGCTATCATGTATTTCACTATCGTGTTACGATACCGCGCTCGCCGTGTACCCGTGTGCGTGTGCGTGTGCGTGTGCGTGTGCGTGTGCGTGTGCGTGTGCGTGTGCGTGTGCGTGTGCGTGTGCGTGTGTGTGTGCGTGTGCGTGTGTGTGTGTGTAGTATATGACACCGCGCTCACTGTGTGCCTGTGTGTGTGTGTGCGTGCGTGCGTGCGCGTGCGCGTGCGCGTGCGCGTGCGCGTGTGTGTGTGTGCGTGTAGGAGCGTGTCTGCACTGTGTGTGTGTGTGTGACTGTGCGTTGCGGTGCGTGCGTGAGTGTGCTAGTATGATGGACCACCGTGCTCACCGTTATGCCTGTGTGTGTGTGTGTGCGTCGTGCGTTGCGTGCGTGCGTCTGTACGTGCGGGTGGCTGTTGCGTGTGGTGTGTAGTACTATGACACCGTGCTCATCGTGCGTGCTGTGGTGGTGTTGTCGTGTGTGTAGTATATGACACCGTGCTCACCGTGTGTGTGTGTGTGTGTGTGTGTGTGTAGTATATGACACCGTGCTCACCGTGTGTGTGTGTGTGTGTGTGTAGTATACGACAACGTACCACCAGAGGACATGCCGAACGACGCCGACCAGGAGCCGAGGCGATCGTCCGCGCAGCCGGCGATGCGGCCCAGCAACACGTTCAGCACGGGCAGCGAGCTGAGCAGCGTTGCCAAGGCAACGTCGTCGGCGAGTCTGCGCAGCGTCGCCGAGGAGCCGCCGCCGCTCGACGCCGTGCGCACGTCGACGCCGAAGCTGTCGGCCGAGCGTCGGCTGAGGCAGTTGACTGCCGGTCAGCCGGTCACAGGTGAGCGCCGACGTAGCGCGCGGTAGACGCCCCCCCCCTCCTATGGAGAACGTTCTCCACCACTCTATTATATTGCGTATGGTCTTGAGCACTTCTATTTGTATGCATACCAGGTGCGAATAATGACAAATGACATGTGGTGAGACAATCCACAAGTGCCATTCAGGTACATGTGTATAGGGATCTGACCTTTATCGTTCATTTGTTATTTTCCCCCGCGTTATTTATGCCAAATAATGGGGATTTTTCTACATCTCCGGGAGCTTTTCAAACCCAAACCTTCCTACGGAAATGGAAGTCCATTCACCTAGTCTGTGCGCATGCGCGTGCATTTACGTTAAACAATCGCAACCACGCTAAATGAGGCGTATTCCGTGCAAAACCAGATTTAGCAGACGTGCAGATTTTACAAGTTCTCGCGGCATTGCGCCGCTCTTGCAGGTTACGACAGCGACTCCAAGTATGGCCGCTCGAGCAGCACGCCGCGTCGCGAGGCGCCGCCGGACGCCGTCAGCGTGGAGCGGCGCCACAAGAACGGCGACAAGTGTTCGAATCTCGCGCGCGTCGCCGAAAGCAACGGTACGGGCGGCGGCGCCGAGGCGGCGGCCGGCGCAGGAGGAGAAGGAGGAAGCAAGCGCGACGGCGTCTACCTGGAGGAGGGGGATGCTGAGAGCGGGGAGAAGACGAAGGACGGCAAGCCGCCGAACTCGGTGTGGTACGAGTACGGATGCGTGTAGTCGGCGAGGCGCGCGGCAGCCGAGAGTCACCGTCTACAGGGCTAGCACAACCATCGTGTAACCGCACGCTCTCGTTTTCGCTCTCTCTCTCTCTCTCTCTCCCAACGTGTAACCCCACATATTGCTGTTCTATTTAACAACGCGTAAGCCCAACGCACAGCTGCAGTCTTAATATTAGTTGTGATAGAGCGTGCGTGTTTGTAAAACGTTTAACGCGACGCTAGAAGTCGCTGTCGTTGTAGAGAAGTCGGTGGGGGGGGGACGAAGACGAATTTACATTCGCTGGGAACGATCAAAGTAATGGCTGTATCTTAGGTAACCGTATGCTAGCACGTACCACAACGACGCTCATACTCACTGCTTAGAGATTCAAGCTGCAGTCGCCGAAATCGCAGCGTGGTAATGCGGCAGGTGGAAATCCACGTACCTGTGCGCGTGTTACTCGTGACGTGTTTACGCTGTTTGTACGCATCGTAGGTGTACAAATATGTAATTGGTAGATATATGCTAGCGACGTGTCCATTTGTATATGCGTCTTTACGGCGGTTGCACGTAAAGTAATATATGGGCGTATTTCCACGTAGTAGCCATAGCATGTCGTGTATATTTGCTTGTACGGTTTGAAACGAACGGCTATGCTCGATGTATAGTGAGGTAGTATTGCGTGCGTATAAGTGTGATTTTATGCAATTCTGACGTTTGTATAAAGGTTTCCCTATATGATTTTTTTATATAGCATTTTGTCTGTGATTTGCAAAAACAAAATAATATGTTTGTTCTTTTAGTTAAACGTGAGGCAGTTATGGAAATGACTGTTGGCAGTCGTGAAAGTTTACACGCATGAAATTCTGTACGGTGTTACGTTGGTTAAAAAACTGCAGTCTAGTAGTCACCCCCCCCCCCCTACACGCGCAATTTGAATATACACGTGTAAAAATACGAAGGCATTTTTACGATTTGATGTACTATGAAATCAGTATTGTCAGTTGATTTTACGTCGGCATGGTCACTACTTACCTGTATGCTGAGCATGTAAGAAAAATTTTAGTGATATATATTTACGCACTTTTAATACTCTGCACTAGTCTGCTGAGAAGTCCCGCTACTAGTTTTTGATCTGAACATGTAATTCTGTTAGATAGTCTTATTAAGGGAATGAAGGGGGAGCGTCGGATGAAATTACATCATGCGAGAGATACGGTGAGTGTTAATTCGCTAAATTATGTACAAGCGCAGAACTAAATCACATCTATGTGTCATCTCCGAACTGTTTACATTGAAGTGTTAGTACAAGCATAATCACGATGATGATTAAGTTCGAGCCTGATTACATACGAGCGCGTTTCAGACACACACGTGTTCGGGTTGCCATCTGGTTAAACGAGTCTAGGAGAATTCGTGCGTATGGCGTGAATTTTAAATTCTGTGCAGTTGTATTTGTTCACACGTTGCGCTTATATTACTATATATCAACACATATACACTAATGTATGCAGTACGTGTAGTATTGTGTGATCGTGATTAAGCCTTGTAGGGGAAAGTCTGTAAGCTAGCTACTTCTACCGAAGCGCTTCTACTTCGTTGGCGAGTAAACAAATGAGAAAATGTTCGCTTTTTCTGTACGTGTTTGTGCGTGTATGTGTGTTTGTATGTAGATTAATAGTGTGGTAACGCTGTTTTGTGCAAGTAAATAGTGCGCGCTGGTAATCATGTATAGTACGCCCATTTGTTTCTGGTGATAACTGGCTGCCTATAGCTCGAACATTTGTTTTGCACGGCGCCTTAATTTTAAATATTGTACATTATTTCGATAATGATACGACGCGTTTTGCAGCACCTTTGTGATTTCTTTGTTTTCCAGCGATGTTTATTATGAACAGTGGTGTGCGTGAGAGATCTCGTAGTCTGCTTGTGTTGCGAGTCTTATACTGTATATTTGTACAGCGTGTCTCCGTGTAATTATTGGTGATAAGCCTTAGTTTATAGTTTTAACATCTCGAGTTTTTTTTAAGGAGATTACAGTTGCGGTATTTCTTAAAGGCCTCCATGCATGCGTTGTTTCGACACGTGCAGCCATGTTAGAAGATATATGCAAGATATGTTCACTACCTAATTTTGAGTTCGTATACAGATGTATGTCTGTGAGTGATCTATCAAGCAGCAGAAGTGTCACATTGGATCATTACTATTTGCCAGTCTGTTTTATTTGGATGCTACCTGTCTCTTCTCTGTTGAAATGCCTTCAAGAGTTTGGCAGCCGTACTAGAGTACGTAATCGTCATTTCATTTCTTCTAAGAGAAAGGGCAATTAGTATAAGAGCCACCCGAAAACATCCTGCTGGTCGAAAGATTACAAACCGCTCTACGGACGAATTGGAAATATTAGCTCCCCTTTATATTATAAAAATTATTGCATTTTGCAAAACACTAGTGAAATTATAGCGTAATAGAGTTGGCACGACGCATAGAGTGCATGTAGCTGCCACGTTTATACAGTCATCCCAACAATCACACCTAATTAAGTATTACCTGTGGTAAGCACATAATGTAATTTACCCAGATAGATCTCATTAAATATGGTAATGAATTCATCTTAATGTAATGTGTTTTGTATACTTGTATACGTGAGTCATTTGCAAACATGTATGTGAAGACAGCTTTGAAGACATCGTCATGTGATTGCTCTGCAAAATCATGGTATGGTCGAAATTGGAGATCGTGTGTGGTTAACAGAGAAATGGCAGACTCCCACCAAATAATACTGGGCGTCTTGTACCATTGTAATTAATTTGCATGGTTTCACCTATGCTTAGCACACTTGAGCTTTGTGGACACACGGTCAGGAAAGCCATCTTTAAAATGCTTGACGTTTTCAAAACAGACTACGATATAAGTATGTAGCTATCCACTACTGTTGAAACCAAGAGGTGGTCATGTCCACACCAATTATATACGGTTGGTGTAAAAATGCTTAGCTGGGATACCTGGCATTATTTGCGTCTGAGTGAGGGGGTAAAAATAACCGTTATAGTTGAGTAGTTTTCTTGGAACCACAATAGTGCTATCATACACGGGGGGTGCGGGAAGATTGGCCACCGTATGTTCAAGCAACACATTTTATTTTTTTATTTTTTTAAAGACATTAGTATTCGTTCAAGCTATTTGTTAGTATCGGTCTCTCATATGGGCCCTGGAATACCTCGCCAGGGAGATACCGGATGTACGCAATCACAGGAATTATACTGCTACAATATTTGAGCAATTTAAAAAGATTGGTCCACTTGTTATTATCTAAATGGTTTATTTGGATAAACAATTTTCGTATCAAACATCATTCATCCAAGTAAGTGTGCTCTCACATCAGTTTTAACTAATATATCACCAGGCAGATACAGGACTATGGGGCGCCAAGTGTCGCATGACTGATTTCGTTACGAAATCAATGATTTTGTACGAAATCAAGTCTACAAAGTGATTTCGTTACGAAATCAACTACTGCGAGTGATTTCGTTACGAAATCAGCTACTGAGAGTGATTGCGTTACGAAATCAGCTACTGAGAGTGATTTCGTTACGAAATCAGCTACTGAGAGTGATTTCCTTACGAAATCAGCTACTGAGAGTGATTTCC